AGACTGGATGGGGATCCTGCCTTTGCACCCCTCTTCCCAAAGGAAAAGTAACTTTTGGGTGCAGTCAGTGGCGAGTACAGCTCCATCGCTGTCCCTGGGGCTGAATGCTGCTGGCATCACATCACCCCCATGCCACCGTGATGCAGCTGGATCCTTGCACTTGCTGGAAAGCCCTGGCTTGCACAGCTGTGGTGATGCTTGCCCTTGGATCATAGTGGGATCAGGGCTGGAGGGGAGGCAGGAGCTCTGTCCCATGGGCAGGGTGGGCTCTGGAGGCTGGCAGGACCAGGGGACCATCACCCTGCAGTGGGACAGGCATGCCTGGCACCCAGGGTGGGCCAAGGCTTGAGCAAGGACAGGCTTTGATGGATGTGATATGACAGGGAGAGCAGATCTCAGATGGCTGGAACGGCTCCTGAGCGGCATCAATCCAGCCGTAATGAAAAGTCATTATGGATTGAAATGCCACCGATGGGGAAGCGCCTCCCTCTCATCGATAGGATGCCACTGATGCAGTGGCACATGCCAGGGAGAGGAAGGTGCCATGGAGGAAGGCATGGCCATGGTGTGGACCATTTTGTTATGGGGATGGAGCAGGTGGCTCTCAGGCAGGCTGTGGTGGCACTCCAAGGCTGGACTAGAAACATCTGAAGGGTGCAGATGTGGGTCCTTGCAGGTCACCTGCTCCATCACCCATCAGCAGCAGAGGGGTCCCTTTCTTGGAGCTCAGATGGAGGAGATCCCTGCCAAAGGCTTCTCCCACAGTATGAGTGCCATACCTCAGCCATCGTGCTGGGCAAGGGGTTGGAAGGAGCCTGGGGCTGCCTGGAGCTCCCAGTGCTCAAGTTAGGGAGCAGGATTAGGGATGCAGCTGATAACATCGTGGTTTGGTTTAATGCTGGGTATGAGATGGAGTGTGCCAGCACCCAATCTGCAGGGGCACCCACTTGTTCATGCCCGGGGATGGGTGACAGACACACCTTCATGCCTGGGGGCACCCTTGCCCTGTGCTGGGCTGACACCAGCTGTCCCTCACAGGTGCAGCCCGTGGCCTGTGAGAACAGCGAGGACAGGAGCATCACCCGCGTGGACGAGGGGCTGGAGGACTTCTTTGCCAAGAGGCTCATCACAGAAACACTGCCGTAAGCCCGGGGTGCCCAGGACCCCTCACCTGCCCAGCACACACCCATGCCCAGGTTTCAGCAGCCTCCCTGCAAACACTGCAGGTCCCAGTGCAAAGGAGATGCTGGGGAAAGCAGCACACCCAGGGTTATTGCCAAGGGCAAGGCTGGGCAGGAGGAATGGGATGGCAGCCATGGTGTGCTGGATGTGGCCGCGGAGTCTGTTGCACAGCGGGGAGGCAATGAGGCAGCACCCAGGGGATGGGAATGGGTGCCCTTGCCAGGACACTGCCATCTCAGGCGGAGTGTCCAGGGTCTGGATCCATCCCTTTAGGGTGAAAAAACTAATCCCTTACTTCTTGGCAGCCTGGAGCTCACCTTTTCCAATGCTTCATCTCTCTCCAGCCCCACGACTCCAGAGACCTGCCTGGGATCAGCCCCTCTGGCTCCCTCTGGTTCCCGCACCCTCAAGAAGAAAATCGGGAATTTTTTTGCCTTCAAGAAACCCAAATCCAGCCGGGGCTCGAGGTGTGAGAAGGAGCCCGAGGGTGGTCCCACTGCCCCTAGGAGCAGGCGCTCGATGCTCAGTGACATTTTACGAGCCCCCAGCAAGGCAGGCGAGTCAGGGAAGCCCCTGAGTAAATCGGAGGAGGGGGGGCTCTCTGCCGAGCCCCAAGCAGAGCCTGAGCACTGCCAGACTCCTGACTCTGCCCGGAGGATCCGGCCCAAGTACTCTCGGGAGGGCAAATCCCAGTCACTCATCTTGCTGTCCGGGGAGGACGAGGATGCGCTGGGGGTCAGGCATGACAAGGTAAGCACTGTCACAGTCACCAAGCCACCCCCACTGCTCAGCTCACCTGGTGGGTACTGCTCCCGCCCATGGATGCTGGTGGGGTTACCAGGGACGTGGGGACACTGGAGTGATGGCTGGGGATATCCCCACTGGGTCGTGTCCATGTCACCATCTCCTAGCAGCGTGGCTGGGGTTGGCAATGTGGGCGCTCCACAGGCAGGAGTGTGGGTGCCACAGGTGTTGTGGTGGGTCCATGTTCCTGGCAGGGTTGTGTCTCTCCTGCAGAAGAGGCACCTGGAGAAGAGCGAGGGGGAGCTGTCCAGCTCCTTCGAGCAGCGCGTGCAGGTCATGCTCCACCGCATCGGCGTCACCAAGGGCCCGGCTGCTGAGAGCAAGAAGCAGCAGGTGGGCACTGGTTCCATTTTTGGGGTGAACCCTGCCCCTCCAGGGTGGTAGGAGATGGTGGTCCATAGAGTGGGGACATCTCCCCACTGGGATGGCAGCACCCAGCTCTGTGCTGCTGCTGCTGCCCATAGCCTCTGCCCTGTCACCTAACCCTCTGCAAGGGGTGAATTCCTGTACACTGCATGGTGTCTGTCAGTCTGTCCCTCCTTTGCTGGCACACACCCATTCCCTGCAGCCACATGAGAGCCTGGCAGCAGCACTCTGCCCTCTGCACACGTTGTCTCTGTGGGCACTGCCTCCCTGACACCCCCCTTACCAGTTTTTTCCCCCTTGCAGAGCAAAGACAGCGAGATCAAGAAAGCCGGCTCAGATGGTGAGGGGCTGCTCCCTCCCCACCCTGACCCCCACCCAGCTGAGCACCCATGGGTGGCCATGGGCAGGCCCCCTTGGACTCCCAGCTGTGGGTCCCATTACATCTTTCCCTTGTTGGGTGCTGGTGGCACTGGGCAGACTCCAGCTCTTGTGCTTGCAGGGGACATCGTAGACAGCTCTGCGGACTCGCCCCCATCCCTGAAGGCCCGCACACACTCTGTGTCCACAGGTGGGTCAGCAGTGCATGCTGGGGGGTCACACCAGCCCCTGGGGCAGAGGGCTTTATCCCCTCTCCTAGCACCAAGCACGGAGTCTGGAGCAAACAGAGACTGGTGGGCACAGGCATGGGGGCAGAATTCCACCCTCGGGAGGGTGCCCTACACCCATGGGTGCCCATCCCTGGCATCGGCAGATGGACACCAGCCCACTGCCCAGTCCCTGGGCTGACTGCAGGCTGGTTCCCAGCACCAAGAACCATCCCTGGGGCTGTCGCTTCTGGATGCCCACAGCTCCATCCTGCCTACCCCACAGACGCACCCTTCCGCAGCCCAGCCGCCAGGACGGAGCCCAGCGCCGAGCCCCGGCCAGCCTGGAAAGCCCTGGGAAGGCAGCTGCCCGCTGAGCCACCGGCCACCAGCTCCGACCAGCCCCGGCGCTCCTTCACCCTGGCAGAGCCCAGCGGGCTGCCGGAGCCCGGGGGCCGGGAGGGCTGGAGCAGCAGCCTGCCACGGCTGGGCAGGAACGTGCCGGTGGCACTGCCACGGAGGGTCAGCCACGGTGGGGAGGTGGGTGCTGGCACCCTGCCCACCCTGCCCACACCACCCAGTACTGAAGGTAGGGATGCACGAGGTGCCCATGGGTGCTTCATTCCACTGCTGGCCAGTTTTTTGGAGCCCTTGGGATGGAGGGCAGCAGGAAGCCAAGCACGCAGTGGGTGCTGGGTGCTGCTGGGGCCTGCCAAGTGGGGTGCTGTGGGCTGTCCTCCAATGGCACCTCCCCATTGCTTGCACAGACAACCGGCTGATGGCACGGCTGGCAGCGCCACGGGGGACCAGCCGCCGAGCATTGTCTGTCCACGAGGAGCAGCTCAGGGAGCCCGAGTGCCCGGCAGAGCTGGGAGGTAAGTTGGGTGTGAAGCAGGACCTGAAGCCCTCCTTGCACTTAGCACCAACAGAGGTGGGTGGTGGTGTTCCACTTGCGTGCTGGTGCTGCCTCTCCCAGCTGTGGGTGACAGACAATGGCACAGCCACACTGGGAAGTTCCCAAGGGGAATTCAGCATTGGGATCAGTTCCAGCAGGACCAGGCCACTGTGCCCCACCCTAACACGGGGCTGGGTTGTGTTTCCCCCAGTGGGCACTGTTCCCCTGCGCCTGCGGCGTTCGCCTGTGCTCAGGCACAGGACCAAGCACGAGTCCCTCTCAGAGATGGAGGGTGAGCCTGGACCAACCTCAGATGCTGAAGGTGAGATGTTCCCTTCCCTGCTAAAGCAGGTGTTGGCGTACCACCGGTCTCCCCATGGTTACACCAACACCTGTACCCTGTGTAGGTGCCACGCTGCAGGACTGGCCCCGTGCCGGGCTGGAGGAGCCGCAGGCTGGCACAGGCACTGAGGGTGAGCAGCCGCAAGCCCTGGCACAAACTGTTGGGAATGCACAAGACTCAGCTGCTGTAGACCAAAGACGCCCAGTGCCGGGCCAGGAGGAGCCGGCCCTGGGACAGTGAAGCCCCTGCATGTCACCAGGCTGTTCCCAATAAAACCCTGCAAGCAAGTGCGCCGTGCCGGGGTGTTGGCAGCTGGGGTGCAGAGAGGATACACTGGGCACCAGGCTGGCGTGGATGTGCCAATGGTGGCATCGCCCAATTTTCGCCATGGGGACAGCCGGGCCACCAGCATTGCTCAGGATGCCCAGGGACTGTCAGAGCCTGCAGGATGCATCCAGTGGTGTGGCAGTCCCCAGTGCCCTCTGTCGCTGTGGGCTGCAGCGGGGGAGCCGGTGATTTTAGGCAGCCAGCTATTTTTAGGAAGCGTTCCCAAGGCACTTCCACCACTCCAGCTCCTGACCCCATGGGGTACTGCTCTCTCCAGCCCCCGCCAGACGCAGGCTTCCATCAGCAGGACACGACCCACGGCCTTCCAGCACGCAGCTCCATCCCCGCAGCTCCCTGAGGCACCAGCGTGACCCTCACACCCCTGTGGCTTTCTCCTGTGTTGCCCTCTGCTCCGGACCAAACGCATTCCTCACACGGATGTTTACGACAAAGCAAGATGCTTGTTTTGGTTTGGGTTTTTTTTCCCTTTTTTTTTTCTTTTTTTTTTTTTAATACAAGAGCTGTGTATTTAAAAAATATACAATTTTTAATTTCTACAGCATAACCCTGCGGGATATTTTTTGTAATAAACAGTGCAGGACCCTACCCAAACTTATTAAATAAACCATCCAAGCTCCTGGGGTACCTTTGGAGCAGGATCAGCTTGTGGGGCCCCTGCCATTGCTGCTATGGTGGCACTGGGTCACCTCTTGTCCCCACTTGCTGGGACAAGGCATTTGAAAAGGACGAAGAGATGGGAGAGGCTTCTTGCATCCCCACATCCCTCCCCCAACCAGTCTTCCTAGTGTTTTGACAAACCCATTGAAGAAACAAAGGAATGAAAGATGGGCTCAGGAGTCCTCCTCCTCAGCCAGTATCCAGCATGCCCACTTCAGCATGGCCTTTGAGATCCTGAGAAACCAGACAGGAGGAGCAGCATGAGAAGAAACCCAGCTGTGGACATACCACTGGGGCAGCTGGTGACAAGGGGTAGGGCAGAGACTGGGGACTCACTACAGGTATGTGAGTCCCACTGCAGGAGCAAGGGACAGCCACGAGTCCATGGCTGATATGGCACTGACCTGATAGATTGTACCTGCTGGCAGAGCTCGGGGCTCGGTGCCTCGTACTGGTACTGGGGTGGTCTCTCCACGAGCTACAAAAGCAAAGGGGAGGGTGAGATGGGTCTGCTCCAGCCACAGTACCCAGAGTGCTGCCCCATGCAGCCTGAGAGCCCAATAACCCCAGGAAAACACCTAGGATTGAGGTGTCTCTCCCTCTGTTCTTTTGCTCTTCTTTTACCCAGATAGCTCAGAAGATGCTCCAGCAATTGTTTGTTCCCCCCCAGTTGTTTAGCTCAGGCTAAACCACATCTTCACCATCTCTGGAGGGATTTAAAGACCTGTTGATATGGCAGCTGGGGCTATGGTTCAGTGGTGGGCTCGGCAGTGCTGGGGAGTGTTTAGAATTCCATCTCATGAGCTCTTTTCCAGCCTAAGTGATTACATGATTCCTTCAGGGTTCCCTTAGGGTTCCCAGATCCTCCACCATCTACACTGACACCTGCATTCACCCTCCCATCCCCACCAGCCTGGTGAGGAAAGATCCTGAGGATGAACACCAGTGGTGTGGGCACAGAGAGCCTCCCCAGGCACCTCCAGCCCTCAGGGGACCTCACCAGCTGCTTGGTATTTACCGGCTCTGGAGCTCTGCACTCCTCCGGCCTGGAGCTGGGCCCAGCTCTTGCAGGGGATGCTTGCTCTTCTTCCTCCTCCTCCTCTATTTCCTCCTTCTCTTCCTCCTCCTCTTCCTCCTCAAGCTCCTTTCTACGCCGCAGCCCTGTCTCCTTTCTGCTCTTCTTTGCACCCTGTGAGCTCATGAACACCAAGCTCTTGCCTCTGTCTCTCCCCCTGCGCTTTGAGGTGCCTGGGAGATGCTGCTGCCCACTGGAGGCCTGCTCATCTTCCTCCACCACCTTCCTCTTGGCACCCACAGTCTCTCCTCCCTTTGTCCTGGCGTGAGCCAGTCCAGGCTTCAATGCCTCTGTAGAGGAAGCTGTGCCACTGGAGCAGGCTTGCTCCCTGTGAGGAATCCTGCCAGGTGGCGATTGCAAGCTGCTGCTGGGCAAGACTGGAAAAACTGGAGAAAGAGTGGGCAGGGTGGCCTGAGAGCCCCTGGGTCGCTGCAGGCTTTGATCAGCACACAGGGCACCCCAGGCTGCCTCTGCAGCTGATGCTGCCTCACTGGTGCTGATCTCTGCTGGACTGGGATTGCCGTAGCAGCGGAGCAGGGAGGGAGAGGAGGTCTGTGCTGGCCCTCCCTGGGGTGAGCCCTCAGGAGAGCTCTGGCTACACACTTCCAACAGGTCAGCGGTGTTGCTGTCAGCAGCCACATCTTTCTGGGTCTTCAGGGGAGGGTCAGGTTGAAAGGTCTTCTCTGGTAAGAGGAAAAGCATCGTCAATCTGAGCAGGGGGACCTGCCCTGGCACACAGGAAGTGTCAGGGCTGGAATGATGCAGGTCCAGGGCTATGGGAACAGCACAGCACTGCTTTATGGCAGGGGAAATCCAGCCAGCATCCAGGGTGAGCTACACCCACTGAGAAGAGTGGAGCTGTCTCCTGCCAGGAAGGCAGGATGGATGCCCTGGGACATGGGGACTCACCATCTGAAGAGCTTGGGGTCAAAGACAACGAGGGCATCCCGTTCCAGGGGTTGTCCAGGGATCCCTCCAGGCTATCTGACAAGGTTGGTGATGCAGCACCTGCAATGAAGAAGAGGGTTGATTTGTCAAAGAAAGCAGCTGCCCATTCCCTGTGGGTCCCCTGTACACAAGGTCTCAGGGACAGCTCTTGAGGGCAGCTCTGCAGCCCTTTCCAGCCCAAAATGTGGCATATTCCAGTGAGACCCTTTCCAAGATCTCACAGAACAGGCAGTGGAGAAGCAGACACTGCCCAGAGAGCAGGCAGGTATGAAGAAGGCCTTCTCCTGCACCCTGCACTGTCCAGGACAGTTCTTCCCTTCATCTCCTCCTCCACACAGAGCTTCCACAGGTAATTCTGCAGCAAAGCATGGTGACACCAAGCCCAGTAAGGTGACAAAACCCATTGTGGTGCTGAGCCAGAGCCAGCAAGGAGCCCACACCAGGGCAGGAGACTCATGCTCAGTGATGGCATCAAAATGACTTCTTGTGCTCCCAGCACAATACACCAAAGCTGCAGCTTCAAGAACCTTGAGGACTGGGAGCATCCCCTGCCTGCTCAAGGTCTCCCAAAGACCTGGCCACACCAGTACCTCCTCCACTCAATCCAGGGAGATGGGCTGAGCCAACTGTAGAGGAAACTAAAGGCTGGATGGGATCTGGAGCATTCATAGGAGGCCATGAGGACGATCCAAGGGCTGGAGCACTGCTGCTATGGAGACAGGCTGAGAGAGTTTGGGTTATTCAGCTTGGAGAATTGAAAGCTCTAAGGAGACCTTCAAGAACCTTCCAGTATCTAAAGAAGCTCCAAGAGGCTGGAGAAGGACTTTAGACAAAGCCATGGAGTGCCAGGACAAAGGGCAGACTTTACACTGACAGAGGACAGGGTTAGATTAGATATTTTTTAAAAATTCTTCCCTGTGAGGGTGGGGAGGCCCTAGCACAGGTTGCCTGTGAAGCTGTGGCTGCCTCAGCCCTGGAAGGTGTTCAAGGCTAAGCTGGACAGGGCTTGGAGCAACCTGGTCTAGTGGAATGTGTCCCTGCTCATGGCAGGGACTGGGTCTAGATATTCTTTAAGGTCCCTTCCAACACAAATCATCCCAGGATCTGGAGACTCCACAACTCACAGCTGATTTGAGATACAACACTCGGCTCTCCTGGCACTGTCCTGTCATCACTACTCTTTCCAGGAGCTGCTTGGCTTGTATCTGCAATGATACAAGCAATGGTCATATCCCCAGCATGAGGCACACCCAGAGCAAGGGAACTCTTCACCCCACCCTAGGGAGCCCCTAATTTCACATGCCTGAGTGCTGCACTGCCTACCTGTGTACCCTGCAGACACTGCCTCTGAAGAGTCACAAACAACTTCATCCTCCTCAGGAGGGATCACCAGGGCACTGACTGGGACCATGAAAACGTCCTCACCCTGCTGAAATGAGACACATGACAAGGTTTTTGCTGGGCACTCCCTCTCCAGATGCAGGAGTCCACCTGTACCTGCCAACCCAACACCATCTCCCCCGTCAGCAAACCTCCAGCTCTGCCCACTGTCCTTTCCCTTCCTTCTCCCACCCAGCAGAGCACCCCAAGCTGTCACAGCCCTGTCCAGCTGGTCCCAGCAGACAGACTGACCTCCTTCTTGCGCTCTGCCTCCCACTGGGTGATGGGAACCTCGTCCTCCACTGACCCTGGCTTCTCCTTTGATTTCCGTAAATCCAAGCACTCCTCAGCATTTTCCTTCAAAATCTCCAGCTGGTTCTGTCCGATGGCGTCAATCAGCTGAGAGACAGAGGGGTCTAGAGCAAGAACACACAAACACCACTGGAGGAGACAGGGGAACTCAGGCAAGCCTCACTTGCAAACACTTTTACCCTGCTGCATGACTTGGTGACACTGAAACCTGTGGGAACACCCACAGCTCTACATTTCCTCTGCTTCTAGAAACTATCTTTCCTCTCTTCACAAATCCTGGATCAGGAGCCATGAGCACAGGCATTTAATGTCCCGCTCTGCTTTAGCTGTCAGCATTATTTTTTCCTGCTTTGGGCTTAGCAATATATGCTTGTGAGATCTGACCAGGTTTGTGCTACCTCTGCCTAACATGGACCAAGCTGAGGAAAGCCACAGGCTCCCCCAGGCAGGCAGAGCATTGCATGCCCCCCACAACCCTTTACCTGAGCTGGGAGCATTCCTCACAGCAAGATTCTTCCTGTAATGACCAAGGAGAAGACAAAGCCAGGTTAGGGCTGGGACATACACAGCTCTTGTATGATCAAGCACCCTGGATTGGAAGAAGCAGCTTGTGAAAGTAGTGGATCCCCCACTGGGTGCTGATCTGGCCACTGGCCACATGCTCAGTATGCCAGGAATAGCCATCAGGAAGGCTCACCCCTGGAGATGGACTGATTGAAGGCCCTGAGGATCTCCAGGATTGGATCTTCAAGGATGAAGAACGAGCTGTGCATGGCTCACCCACACAGCTGTGCTGCCCACCACTGGCAAGAACAAGCTCCCCACAGGTATTTCCTCCTAGCTCAGAGGAAGAGGCTGGCAATGTGCCACCACAGTTTCATTTTTCTATTCAACTCTGTCACATTCCAGGGCAAGGAGTCACACAGGTTAACCAGGGGCTGCCATAACCCGTGCCAGCCCTTGCCAGCCTGCTCTAACCCCAGTCTGAGGCTGCACATGTCAGGGTATCTGGATACATCCCTCAGCTCCATACTCACAGCCAGAGCTCCTTTATCTTCTTCACCACAGAGGGGTCCTGGTTCCTGCAGCAAGAGAGAAGCCAGTTACTGATTCCCTCCAAATCCCCATCTCCTTTCTCCCTTGCCTTGGAGACAATCCCTCCTTCAGAAGGGATTGCCACAAGCAGGTCACATCAGGACTGCCAAGGTCAGTGCTGCTGTGGGGAAGATAAAGAAGTCCCCCTGAGCACAGCCCCCACCCAGCCATCCCATGGGCCATACCCATCAGATGACTCCATCCTCTGCCTCTGCATGGGCAGCACGATGAACTGCTGGGCCGTGAGGTAAAACTCGCAGTCCTCCTGTGGAGTGGACAGAGCCTGTAAGGCACCTCTGAGTCCCACCCCTGCCCCTGCCTTCCCTGGGGCCAGCCAGCACTCCCACACCCACCCCAGCTCTGCCACCAGCCCTCCAGTCTAAGAGTAGGTCCCCTCAAAAAGGACAACCCCCCTTCAAACAGGAGTTTCCTGCATCAGCTGATGACTCTGCCAGGGTGGGCCAGCCCAGGGGAGTCTGTGGGGACACCTCTGAACCACTGCAAGGGGACAGAGCACTGCTCTGCCACCAGCCCATGCAGGCCTTCTGCAGCTGTCCAACAGGCAGAGGTGACAGCCAGGTGACCCTGGGAAAGATGCACCCCATCCCCAGCCAGGGCTCATCCCTGCCCAGGTCAGCTGCCACAGACCCCACAGGAGCTGCAGATGAAAATGAAAGGCCACCCATCACCTGCCTTCAGCTCCTGGGAGCAGCTGGAAGCAGGCAAGAGTGCAGGAAGCACAGCAAGGTAAAGGAACAGGCTGCTTCCACACCTCAGAGCACTTACCAGCCTGGTCTCGTCCTGAAAACACACCGTGTACTTCTGCAGGACAATGATTCTGCAATTAAGGCTGGAAAGCCTGAGCTGCAGGTGGGCGCTGGAAAAGGAGCAGAGCAGGAGTGCCTTGAAGAACAGAGCTGGACCCCCCCTGACACACAGTGGGGCTCCTGCAAGAGCTCTGCCAGCCACACTGGGGCATTCTGGAACATGTCTCAGCATGAGCAGCAGGCACCAAGGGCTCCTTATTCCTTAGCAATTCCTGCCTAAGAGCAGATTCTTTCTGCTGCTTATCCTTGGCTCTCTGCTGCCAGCACCCCAACAGTTTAAGGGTGTCCAAATGGGGAAATGGAGGAAAGCACTGAAGGAGCAACATAGGCTACCATGGTTAATGATCTGGCTCCTTCCACAAAACCCAAGGGCTCTACTGTCCTTTCTAATGGCATTACAGCTTCTGCCATGGATCCCTGCCCATCCCAACCAGCAGACACCAAAGCAAAGGCATTCCAGCCTTCTTCTCTTAGCAGCTCTTTCACACCAACTTCCCACCCTGAGGTTGCTTTAGCTTAACACAACCTGAAAGGAGACCAGGCAGGAGCCCCAGCTCCTCCCAGCAGCTGTGCAGAACTGCTGTCCCAGCCACGCCAAGTCAGGGTGGAACCCACTTTTCCTCTGCCTGCAGAGCTTCGGCTGTAATGACCACACGGATGTAGCAGGATCCGTCAGAGACCTGCACCACAGCGTCCTGGAGCAGCCCAGGCTGGCCAGCTGCACCTGAGTCACTCAAAACCTGTCAAGAGATTGGAGAAGGGGAAAAAAAAAAGAACTCTTATTCATAGACCTGGAACAAGTTTCACCATGACACCAAGCTCTTCCTCCTCAAAAAAAAAATTAAAATCAGACGTTGAGGAGGAAGAGTTGCACATCCACAGCCACCAAACTGGGAATTTTGGTGGAACGCTTCCCAGAATTCAGATTTGAAAGGCTGTTGGAGCACCTTGGGACAGTCCCTCTGGGTACCTACCCGCACCACCTGCCCAGCCAGGTAATTCTCACGCTCATCCACTTGCTCGTAATTCACCAAGAGGTCAGCAATCCATGGCTCCAGCACGTAGAGCTTGGGGGAAGCCACATTCTTGTCCACACACACAAGACTACATGAGAAGAGACAAGACACCAAGCAGTGCTCCATCACCCTGGGAAGGGTTTAGCACTCCAAGCACAGCCACAAACCCAGGAGATTGCTCACATCCACCCAAGTGCACCCACTTCTCTGCAAGGACCCATCCTAAGGGCTTCGTGCCGAGGAAGCCACGCTGCTGGGGGCACACAGGTCCTGCTGCATCCTGCTCCGACAGTGGGTAGCTCTGGCGTGAGCCTGGCCTTCTGCGAGTCTCCCACACAGGAGAGGACAGTTATTTCTACCGCTTTCTATATTGTTTATTATCACCCAATAACAATTTTCCTGGGACCAAGTCTTAACTATAACTGTCTGAGCTGTGAAAGGGAGAAGAACTGGGGACAGACAGGGCTGGGACAGACGCGGCTGGGGACAGGTAAGGGTTGGGGACAGGCAGGGGCTGAGGGCAGGCAGGGGATAAGGGCAGGCAGGGGATGAGGGCAGCCATGGGAGGAGGAGGAGCAGGGCTGAGGAGCAGGCAGGGGCTGAGGGCAGGCAGGGGATGAGGGCAGGCAGGGGATGAGGGCAGGCAGGGGCTGAGGGCAGCCATGGGATGAGGGCAGGCAGGAGATGAGGAGAGGCAGGGCTGAGGGCAGGTGGGGCTGAGGGCAGGCAGGGGAAGAGGAGAGGCAGGGGATGATGAGAGGCAGGGGATGAGGGCAGGCAGGTGAGGAGGGCAGGCACGGCTGAGGAGAGGCAGGGCTGAGGACAGGCAGGGGATGAGGAGAGGCAGAGGATGAGGAGGAGCAGGACTGAGGGCAGGCACGGCTGAGGAGAGGCAGGGCTGTGGGCAGGCAGGGGATGATGAGAGGCAGGGCTGAGGACAGGCAGGGGATGAGAAGAGGCAGGGCTGAGGACAGGCAGGGGATGAGGAGAGGCAGGGCTGAGGACAGGCAGGGGATGAGGAGAGGCAGAGGATGAGGAGGAGCAGGACTGAGGGCAGGCAGGGATGAGGGCAGGCAGGGATGAGGGCAGGCACGGCGGAGCAGGGCTGAGGGCAGGCAGGGCTGAGGGCGCGGGCCCAGCTCCCGGCCCTCCCCACACCGGTTCCTGTCCCCGTGCCCGGGCCCAGCTCCCGGCCCTCCCCACACCAGTCCCTGTCCCCGTCCTTGTGGCCCGCCCTGTCCCTGTGCCCAGCCCCGCCGCTTTTCCTGCGCACACGCGTCCCCTTCTAGAAGAGAAGGATCTGGGGGGATGTTGGAGCGTTTCCAGTACATGGAGGGGTTATAGGAGAGCTGGGGAGGGACTTTGGACATCGCCGTGGAGTGATAGCGTAAGGGGAATGGCTTCAAACGGAAAAAACAAAAAAAACAAAAACCAACAAAAAAACCCCAAAAACCAAACCAACAAACAAAAAAAACCAAACCAAAACAAACAAACAAAAAAAAACCCCAAAACCAAAAACCAACAAAAACCCCCCCCCAAAACAACAAAAAACCCCTAAAAAACAAAAACAACCCACAAAAAAACCCCAAAAACCAAACCAACAAACAAAAAAAACAAACCAAAACAAACAAACAAAAAAAAAACCCCAAAACCAAAAACCAAAACAACGCAGCTTTAGATTAGATATGAGGAGGGAATTCTTCCCTGCTGGTGGGGTGAGTCACAGCACAGGTTGCCCAGGGAAGCTGAGGCTGCCCCATCCCTGGAAATTTACGATTGGCTTTTCGCAAGTATTAAAGTAAATATTGCATTATGCTAGAAAGTTGTGCTATATTGATTTGCTTAAGTAGTGTATTAAATATAGTTTTAGGTTATAACATAATGTTAAAATAGAAACTATGCTATGCAAGATACTTCTTTAACAAAGGAGTTGCACCAGATAGAAGCCACAGGACACCTAAATCTTTCAGAGAAAGGGAATTTATTGCTCCCTTATCAGCAGAAAACTAACTTCTTCCCACCTGGCTCAGACTGGAAGACTGGCATGAGGATTAAGAGGAAGAAGTTGACAGAGACCAGACAGAATCCTGTGTTTGAATGGAATTTATGCATCATGTATGAGATGTATGAATATGCAACAGGCGATTGTTTTTAAGGGTTAATCCTCTGTTAACAGGGCTCCTTTTTCGGGCTTGTGTTGCCCAGAAAAAGGTACCCGGACGTCCGTATCTCTTTGCTTTTATTGTCTCATATTGTCCTAATCTCAAATGTTCAAATTTTATTATTCTAATTATATTACTATTTTTATAACCATTTTATTACTATTAAACTTTTAAAATTTCAAAAACAAGTGACTGTCGTTTTTCACACTCAAGGCCAGGTTGGATGGGGCTCTGAGCCTGAGGGAGGGTGACCCTGCCCTGTGGGGTGTTGGGACAGCAGGTCCCTTCCAGCCCCAGTCAGTGCAGTTTGCCATTCAGTTCACACGTGATGCCAAACCATCCCTGGAACTCTACCTTGGTTTTTGTTCTTTCCTGTAGTTTTAGCTCCAGCTCAGGTAATCCCAGGGGTAATCCCAAAGTTTCCCTGAATGGTTGCCCATGGGAAGAGGCATCCTGCCACAAACAGCCTTGCCCGTCCTTTATCTCATCTTAAGGTATTAAAGGCACTAAGTCAAGTCTGTCAAGCAACCTGGGAAATGTTGTGGCTCAAGGGATGGCAAATCCATCCCCTCACCCAGTTCAGCTGTGACTTGGGCAGTCAGTGCCTTTCATCGCCGTGCCAGAGGCTGTGGTTCCATCAGTGGGCTGACACTGAGGGCAGTGAAATGGCACGACAGCATGGGTATAATTGTCACCCTGTATTTGGTTTGCATGGCTGGGCTTTGCTGGGGGGGAGGAGGTGGGCACCAGGGGTAGCTTCTGTGGGAAGCTGCCGGGAGCCTCCTCCATGTCCAGCAGAACCAGGGGCAGAGTGCTCCAGGACAGATGAGTTGCTGGCCAAGGCCTTCAGCCACGGTGGTAACACTTCTGTGATAACATATTTAAGAAGAAAACAAAAAAGTTATTGTGCAGATGTAATTGCAGGCAGAGAAGAGTGGAGTGAGAATACGTGAGGGGAGTAGCTCTGCAGACACCAAGGTGAGTGCAGGAGGAGGGGGAGGAGGGGCTCCAGGCACTGGAGCTGAGATTCTCTTGCAGCCCAGGGTGCAGCCATGCCTGTGCCTGAATGACTGCACCACAGGGAAGAGTGATCCATGTTGCAGCAGTTTGTGGAGAGCTGTTGCCCATCAGATGGACTCACGGTGGAGAAGTTCATGGAGAAGTGTCTCCCACGGGAGGGACCCCATGCTGGAGCAGGGGAAGGACTCCAGCTCTTCTCCCTGAGTAGCAGCAGGGAACACATGTGATGAACTGACCACAGCCCCCATTCCCTGCCTCCCTGCACTGCTGAGCAGGGGGAGGTAGAGCTGGGAAGAAGGGAGCAGTGGAGGGAAGGTATTTTTAAGATTTATCTTACTTTTCATTATCCTGCTCTGATTTTGTTAGTAAGAAATTCAGTTAACATCCCCAGTTTGAGTCTGCTTTGCCTGTGATGGTATTTGGTAAGTGATTTCTCCTGGACCTTATCTCAGCTTGTGAACCTTTGTTACATTTTTCCTCTCCCAGTCCAGTTGCAGAGGGAAGTGATAGAGTGGCTTTGGTGGATGCCAGGCATCCAGCCAGGGTCAACTCACCACACACACCGAAGAATAGGCAGCAGGGTTTGCTCTTACTGACAAAAGCTGATTTATTTGGAAAGGTTGCATTTGGATGGAGGATCAGATCTCCTGAACAGCTCATCATTGTTCAGTTGCAAAGCAAAGTTGGAGCAGCATCTCCAGCTGGAGCAGGAGAGGTTCCAAAAGCTTATGCCTCCTAGTCCTGCCCAATCACATCCCATATAAGTGGTTATTAATTACTTTAACTACCAACACAACATCTCTGAACTATCTTAAATGTGTATATTCCACTGTGGCAAATGGGGCAGGGATTATTCTTCTATCACACTTAAACATTATAGGTGCTGTTAGAGCAGACTCTGAGGAAAGGGGTCACTCTGGTCAGCCCTGGAGGGTTTTTCCAGTGGTCCTGGAGGGTTTCTAGGTTTCTCAGCCTGTTCTTGTGGCTAAGGAATGCTTGTCTGTCCTGGCTGCTCCATCCTCAAGTCCTCAAGGGGCATTCACCTGTCCTGACTGCTCCATCCCCAGTCCTGGCTTAGGCATTGCACAAACTAAGGCCAACAAACTGCACTGTGCAGAGTCAGGCGAGTTCAGCCTCGCCTGCCTGACCTTGGGCAAGGGGAGGGACAGGCCTGGGATCCCAAGAGGGAGGGAGGTGGTGGAGAGGGTGTCGCACTGCAAGGACAGGGATAGTGCTGCCCCCGAAAACCAAAAGGCTCAGGTTTGGTAGAGCAGGGAAGGTGCATAAAGCAGCACTCCTGACACCTAGCCCAGGGCATTCCCTGCCTGGGCAGGACACTTGGCTCTCTTTCTGTCATTCCACAGCCAGCAGGAAAAGTGGATCATGGGTATGGACCGGAGCCAAGAGATTGAGGTGCAGGCAGAGAATTTCCGAGAGCCACGAGCTGATGCAAGTCCTCATGGGAACATGTGAGATAACCAAGTAGCAAAAGGCACTGGCAGAGTCCAGGCGAGAGCAGTGCAGCCACAGCCAGGGCAGCATGGCAGGGCTCCACGTCCGCTCCCTTCTGGTGACTGGGGCCAACCGAGGCATCGGCCTGGGGCTCGTCCAGCATTTCCTGAGGATGCCAAGCCCACCTCAGTGGATCTTTGCAGGCTGTCGGGACCCCAAGGGACAGCGAGCACAGGTGAGACTGGGCAGGGGGAAACGGGATCAGGAACAGTGTTTGCAAGGGGCTGGAGCTGCAGCACAGGTCAGCTGGCTTGGGACACCATAGAATCAGTTGTGCATGGGATACGTGGAGAGGAGAATGGCACAAGGCATGTATAGAAGGCACAGAGCCCCACTGATGTGTCAGCTGGAGCTGGTGTTGGACACAAAGTGATGCAGGGACAGAGATGGAGTGGCATGGGCTCTGCCTGGGAAAGGCTGATCCTCTGCACAGCCCCTGCAGCCTCTCCATGCCTACACTGTGCCCTCTGTTTCAGGAGTTACAGAAGTTTACTGAGGTGAGCGGTACAGAGGGAACACAGGGAACACATGGTGTGGGAAAGGAGAGAGGCTGTTTCCCAAGCCTATTCCCTCTCCCCAGCAGTGTGGAGAGGGCTGAGGGTGAGCAGGGGTGACCACGCAGTGATGAGCCAGTGAGCAGAGTCTGCAGCATGGCAAGAGGTGCCATCCATTTGTCCATCACCAGGGCAGGCTGTTCCCTTCCCAGTCGAGGAAGGCTCCAGAGGTGTCCTGTGAGAGGCTGGCCAGCACAGTCAGGATGCCCCTCACACTGTGCTCCACTGGCAGTGGTGCCTGTAGAAAAGGACAATGAGCTATAACAGAGAGCAGTTCTTAGGGAGGGTGCATGCCCAGGAGCAGCATCCATGGTGCTCATGGGAATATTTTTTCCTTATTGCTACACCTCTCCAGGCTGGCTTGGGGAGACAGGGCTGGCTATCCCACGTACTCAGTATGTTGCAGCTTGCTGCCTGCTCTCTGCCTGCTGGCTGCCTGCTCTGCTCCAGAAGATGGTCCTGGCAGCCCACAGCACCCCTCAAGTTCCCCTGCCCTCCCCAAGACATGGGGATTCAGTGGAGGTCCTGCTGACCCTCCCCTGCACAGCCCAGTACCTCCTCTGTGCCCATGTCAGTCTTCACCCAGCCAGGATGGATGGCCACGCACAAGATCCCCTTGTCCTGGAGTTCTGCAGCCAAACACCTCGTCACCATGTTCTGGGCAGCCTGGAAGAGGCACAGCCCTGCCAGCACAACCCAGGGACAGGGTATGCAGGACAGGAGACATTTCATAGCCACAAAATGTCTGTGGAGGTGGGAAACCTCACCCAAGTTGGGCTTGGTGGGAGGGGATCCTGCCTCCACTCTGATTACCAATGGAATGAGTGACAGCCAGCAGGTCCCATGGCACTGTGACTGCCCTCTGGGGAAGCTGGAGCAGGGTCCCTCTGCTGAGAGGAGAGAGATCTTCTGAGCCCCTGCAGGACTGGCTTTCCCCTGCCCAGGCTGAGCTGCCTGAGGGGCTGGGGGTCACAGGAACCAGCTGCCCTCTCCCTTCAGCTGGGGGATGTCTGGTCACAGGTGGGACTGAGGGACACACAGAGCTTGGGCAGAGCACTGGGATCCTGCCCTGGGCTCAGACTGGGGCTTTGAGACTGGGCGTGGAGACAGAACAGAGAGGCATCAGCTGCCAGGTCCTGTGACAAAGCATCAGCATGACCTGCTGGAAAGGCTCAGTCCTGGCTGCTGCTTTCCCAGTCTCTGTGCTTCCACCTGGGATAACCAGGCAGGGGGTGGGTGGCCGGGCCAGGGGGTGACCCATGGGCTCCCTCCCCTCCAGGGGCACCATGCCTGGGGCAGCATCTCCAGCACCTCCCCTGGCACCTCCCCTTACTGGCCCGGTACGGGTACATGGGGGCCTCTGGCACGCGGAGGCACAGCCCGATGGAGCCCAGTTTGGAGGAGATGTTGATGACAGCAGCCCTGCTGCAGCTCACACCCTCCTTTCCTGTGCCCTTCGCCGCCTGCTCCAGGAGCGGCAGAAATTCCTGATGCAGAGACATCAATGCTTCATTAACATGCAACAGAAGCCCAATTTGGGGACCATCCTGGAGGGCTCTGTCACAGACTGTAGACAAGCAGCTGGACAGACACTCCTGGCAGAAGTGCAGGGATGGGGAAGATGCCCCAAGGAGGGGCCCTGCAGGCTCCAGCCTGTCCCATCCCCAGGAAAGGAGTGAGCTGGCACAGTGAGCCTGGTACAGGCAGCCACTCCAGGTGGGGAAGAACGAAGCACAGGGGATGCTGGGCTGGGTTAAGCTGCTGAGCTCCTCTGGGTAGGCAGGGGAGATCCATGGAAGCCCTTATTCCTGTCAGGAAACATCTTCACAAGCAGGAGAAACGCAAAACATCCAGACATACCTTGACAACCTGGAGTGGCCCAACCACATTGGTAGCAAACACGTCGAGCATCTCCTGCGAGTCCAGGGAGCACAGTGTGGCGTGGGAGCTGATGCCTGCGTTATTGATGAGCAGGTTCAAGCCCTGATCCTTCAGATGGTACCCCACAGCCTGCATGGCCCTTTGGATGCTGGGCAAATTCACTGTGTCTGCCAGGGACAAAGCAAAGTGAAGAATAGCTCTGATGGGTCACACAGCATGCACTGGAAATTGTGCTGTGGCTGGAACCATCACTTCTTATCCAGAAAGGATGCAGCTGGTTTAGCAGATTAAGCACATTGGAATGAGCAGCAGTTTGTCCTCACCTCTGCAGCCTCAGCTGAATTAAACCTTAATTCAAGTCATTTTGGGTCATGTGGGGGCTACTGGTAGGAAAAACTTGTCTGTATTTGCTTTCTGTATTCAAGGAATTTATGATTGTACAAGGGATGCTTGATCCTTGCACACTGAGACTCCCAAGTTAACTTCCACAAGGAGCCATTTTTTTCTTCATGCTGTTACCCACAAGGTTTTGGAGCTGACAGATGAGCTGAGGTGAGCACAAATAATAAAATATTTGGGATGTAGCCTGAAGTATTTGGTTGCAGGCTCTGAATCTGAACTTCCCTATCCCGACTGAGTTGTGGAGACAACCCCTCTCAAGTAACAAGGCACAACTGAAATTGGGCTAACAGGGATAATAAGCATTCCCAGTGCCTTCCTCTTTGCTTAAGTATTGGTATAGCTTTTGAAATTCTGCCATGCTTTAATTGCAGGATTTTTTTGACTTAGGCAATAGGTAGTGTTTTTTGTGTCCAGCTGTCAGGGTTGCTTGTTAGGATTTACATCCTGTCTTGGATACTCACCAACAGAAGTGGCCATAGTTTGTTTGTTTAAAAAGGTCATCTAAATACATTCAGAAAGTGAAATGGGCTGGTTAGGCCAACATTAAACTTTATATACTGCCTTTTAATACCTCAGGTATACCACAGAGCCCTTAAAACCATGAATATTCACGTGTATGGGCAGGTTGGAGTGTGCCCTTGCTCCCTGCACATTTCTCTGCCTGTTTTTTACAGATGCCAATGTGATGAGCCTGCTGGGAGTGGGGGACTGCAGATTACTTATTTTTTTGCAACACTTTGGCCCCTGAGCTGTGTTTCTGTTCTCATGCTAGAAAAGAGTGACTTAGCAAAGGTTTCCAAGGCTGAAGATTTCTGAAGATTACACTGATGGGCAGTAAAAAGATCCTTTTTCCAGGCATTTCTAATTAGCCTGATGTCTTTAGGGTGGTAAGCAAGTATGTGAATGGCATGGCACTTGTTGCTACCTTGTGTTGCACAGCACAGACCTTTGTAGAGGTGTCCTAAAAGCATTTGAGGGGAACACCATGGGATAATCTGCTGTGGGGCTGCTGGGAGGAGAAGGAGCCCTGGGATTCGAGAGGATATTGCATATCCAGTTGCAGGACAAATCACAGAGTGCTTTGGGGTTATTTCTTTGGATAACAATGGGATGAAGTTCAAGGTTCTGTCACTCCAGCACATGTGAGGGATCTTTTGGCCACCTGGTGAATGATTAACTGCTCTGTTTGGATTAAATGAGTCATTGCTCCAAGGCATGTGGGATCAACACATTTTTAGTCCTTAACCCACAAATTTGGTGAAATAACCAAATCTTGTCTCCCTGGAAGAAATAAGGGTGGGACAGAAAGAGAGAGAATGAAAAGAAGTGACAGATCTTACACATTTTTGAGGGTTTTTTTTAAACATTTCTTTCTGAAAAGTCCATCCCTGTTACTAGTTTGAAGACAATACTTCCTTATTATGGAGCAAGAGAGCTGGAAGCAACTTCTCTTTAAAAAAAAATATCTTGTTGCTCGGTATTTAAGCACTTTTAAGCTTATTTTGGGACTTTATTAACAATCTGGGGCTTGGGTTGTAGGTTTTCAGTAAAGATTGTTCATGTAGTGGCCAGTCCCTTGAGATGTCTCTTTTATGTTGGCCATGCTCTTCCCATCAGGTACTGCCAGTTAGGGCTCACAGGTCATTTATTTTTTATTACAGAGAAGGTATTTTCCTTTAATAATCTACTTAATAGCAAAAGAGAGATTTGCTGCCTCTTTGTAGTAAAGCCTGAATTCAAGAATGTCTTATTTTCTAAGAAATATTTTTTTAAAAAAAGAACTTGAACTGAAGTTGCTTGAACTTTTCAGGTGCTTTTAAACAAATAAACAGGTAGGTACTGATACAGAATAGCCTTGATTCAGTTTTCTTATTATTGGCTTCAATGAAATACAAATATTTAGAAGCTATGGCTGCTTCCCACCTCATGGTTTACACCAATGGCAATCCTAGTGCAGACACTTTGCCAAAACATTTATTTTGGCTTTAGATTTTCTTTTAATTCTTCATTAGTAAAAACAGCCCACACTCTCTCAGACACAGGGGAACACAGGAAATCTCTGTTCCTTGAGACATATCCTCAGCCTGGTGCTTCTGATCTCCCCACTCTTCACCCAAACACTGTTCTCCCCAGCCAGACCCTGTCCCTGTCCAGCACCCTGGAAGCTTCTTTCCTGTGAATACCCCAACTTTGCCAATTCCAAACGCCAGCCTGGCTGTTCTCCCTATGGTGCCTAGGTATATTTGCTGCCTTGTGCTTCTCCCAAATGCTGCTGAAAAAGGTCACTGAGTTTGGCCTACATCTATAGAAGGAGAAATGGCCAAGAGGACATCTCCCCAGTCCAGGCTGTGGACATCCCATGCCTCTGGGTCAGAGCATCAGCCTGGGATACCAGTCTGGGCAGATTTCCCATGTGCCATTTTTAGCTATTTTTTTCTCCCTTTTTTTACCTGAAAGAAATGCAAACCATGGCCACCTCCAAGCAGATCCCAAACCAACCCTCCTACTTAGGAACCATCCAGGCGGTTACTGTGCCGTGCCTTGCTTCACTTTGTGAACCCATGTGTCCCAGCCCAAAACCTGGGCACTGTATTTAGCATCTTTGGGAAGAGACGTCATGCCTTTCCCATGAAACTTGCTCAGCTGAGATGTCTGGACCCACCTCTGCCTCCTCTGAAGCCAGTTTGACTGCTCCAGCCAGGGCACAGCTTAATTTGCAGGGAGAAGCTTGCCCAGGTGTGCATGGATCCCTCCCCACCTGGCAGGGCTAGAGCTTCCTGCAAAAGCTGCCCCTGCTCCCACCTCCAAAATCACCAGAGAGCTGGAAGCAATGCTGGGTGCAAGGAGAAAGGTTGCTCCATACCTAGCTGGACCAGTTTGATGCTGGAGTGCTGGGCAGCTAATTCTTGCAGGGCCTGGAAATAAAGTGATGGGGCAAAGGAGGAGATTAGAAGCCACTGGCTGCATGGTCAAGTGTCCCACCCCTGCTCCCAGGTCACTGAGCCAGGGTGGCTTTTCTTTCTCTGGGGAAAGAACACAGGGCCATTCCCAGTGCATGGGGTAGGGCAGCAACCCCAGCAGGAGCACAGTGCTAGAAACTGCCTCCCCTCCTGAGTGATCCCAGCACAGAAAAGGGGTTGGCCAGCCATGGGCACAGCCAGGAGCGAGTGCTGAAGACATGTCTGCCTCTCCAGCCTCATCCCACCCAGCCACACTGGGCACTGCCTAATCCAGGGAGCTGGGGGGGTTATGAGACCCCCAGAGCACTTCTGCCCCCACAACAGGGCTGTGGTGACCAGGGATCCCCTCTGCCCACCTGGCTCAGCACCGTCCCATTCCCCGTGCCCACACTGACCTTCCCTCTTGGACCCCTGGGGTCGCGGCAGGTGGCAAAGATGTGCTGGGGGGGCCGGGGGCTGGCGGCGAGCTGCCGCACCAGCTCCAGCCCGATGCCCCGGCTGGACCCTGTCACCAGCACGCTCCGAGCCAGCGCAGCCATGTCCCCAGCCTCTGCGCCGGGCGGTGACACGCGGCAGGGTTGCCGCCTGCTTGGCTTGAAGAGGAGCACGGCACAGCCCAGGGTGTGGCTCTGGGCACCAATGGGGATTGGGACAGGATCCAAACAGAGCCAGGGTCCCAAGAGGACCAAGGGCTCCCTGACATTTGGCACATGGGGCTGGATGTCTCCTGCACTGTCACTATGCTCCTCTAAAGCCCCAGCTCCCAGAATCTCTGTCACAGCAGAAGAGTCCACCTCTGGTGGTCCACCTCAGCTGGTCCACCTCTTCCACAGGCTTGGAAGAGCACTACGAGGAAAAGGAGAACAGGTTCAAATCTGGCTGTGACCAGCAATCTCCCAGTTTGGGGGATGAGTTTGGGAGAGTCGAATTATGAGACACTAAGCCCAGCCTGAGAAGCACATGGAGTGCAGTTTATGTGCTGCAAGTTCCACTCCTGACAACGCTTTCCCCCCAGAGCATCCAGAAACCAGCAGAGAAGGATTCCCCCCACTCCCTGCAGCCTCAACCACCGACTGCTGGGGCTTCAAGCTCACATCCTTCCTCCTTGCTGCAGGATAACGCTGGAAGCTTATAAGCCAAAGAAATGCCTGTAAAAGCAAGGCTGCTGCAACCCAGGCCAGCCTGGGGGCATGGATTTTTATCATGCAGAAGTGCTAAAAGAAGCAAAGGGCTGCCATGTAAACAGCCTCAGCTAAAACAGAAGAATTGAGGCAACATGAATATGAGGTGGGGGAGGAAAGAAGAAGAGAAAAGTAGTGGGGATGGGTCCATCCCATCTGGATGTGCCTGATGGCACATACCTGTTGCTCAGTGTGGCAGGGGGGACAGAAGTCTCTCTTCCCCAAGTAGCTGAGTGGGTCCACATTTGGCAATCACCAAAGAAACACTCAGGAGATGGTGAAGGGCCCCCACGTTTGGAAGATGAGCTTTCAGGTGACACAGATCATGAAGGGGAAGAAGCAGTGATGTTTCCTTCCATGGCAGTGGACAGATTATGGCCTCCATGAGAGGCAAGCATGCTGGGTGTGGATTTGGATGGTGTTGGAGTCGGACCTGCTGTTGCAGACGTTGTTGCAGGTGTAATCACCTGCACAAACAATTGCACTGCACAGACTTGCCTGCTCTGCCAGCAGCATCCAGAGCAGAGCTCCCATTAGGAACAAATTAGACTGGAGTTTCCTCTTTTCCTTCCAGGCTCCTCAGGAAGGAAGCAACAGAAACAAGCGAAGAGGGCTGCATGACCAGGAATGGCTACAGGCCAGTGCCAAGTAGGGGAGTGACCTTTGGAAAGGGCTGACCGATGGCAGCCAGGGACAGCAGCACAGGCACACTCATGGCTCCAGAATCACAGCCCAGGGCCAGAAAGTATGCACCAGGGAAGAGATGAGACCAGGCTGCAATGCTATAGAGGCATCTGGGAACCATCCAGGTTAGAGAGGAACTGAGAGAACTCTACTCCAAGGCCCATCAGGAGAAGCAGCAATGACTTCAGAGCGGGTTGCCCGGGGCTTGAACCTGACCTCAAAACCCTCCAGGGACCCCGCAATCTTCCCAGACCCCCTTTCAATGCTTGATTGTCCTCAGAATGATATTTTTGTCAGCGTGGCACCTCCCCTGCATACATGCTGTGCCCCTTGGCCTGAGTCCACAAGGCCTTTCCCGTGAGCTCCATGGCTAGAGCCATGCAGTGACCCCTCCTGCACCTCACAGCCTTGACCTTGACCCCGCAGCCCCCTGCAAAGACCCTGCAGCCATCACATCCCCCAGCAGGGCTTTGTTCACCCCTCCAGCACCCAGCCAGCTCCTGCTCTGCCACAGCCCCTTCCCGGCCGAGCCCCGCAGCTCCCGGCTCCGCCATGGCAGCAGGCAGCATCACTGTTGCAAAATGCAGAATGTGTCACTCAGCATTATCTCAAGTCAGGCTGTTCTTTGATGTAAGACCTTTGTATAGTTTCAAGCCTAATCAGCAGGAAAGGAGACCTAATCGCTGGAAGAGGCAGCGGCCAGCATCCCTCACTCAAGGACATTCCAGAACGAACAAGATTTAGGGATTGCTAACTTGGCAAAATGCTGCAGGTCTGTGAATGCTAAACTATCTTCATTGTACTACTAAAAATCACACCTCCAGGTCACAAAGACCCTCTGCACCTGAAGACCCTTGCTCTGAACATGAGTAAAGTCAGCTGGGGTTACATGATTTGTATGGAAGGTACTGGTCAATCCTAACAGAATGGCTGTGCTTGAGAAGTTACTAACCCTGAATTTCTGTGTGTAAATAACAGCATGGAAAGTCTGCTGGATTTGTGTAATACCACCGAGCACCCAGGCTGCGGCAGCTCTGAAACAAACAATGTCTCACTCGTGTGTGTCATTATCGCTCCGTTGCACACCAGGGAGCGAACGTGATTTCTGAGGCAACCTCCCTGCGCCCGCAGGCCCGCCACCCCTAAAATGGCGGCGCCCACTGAGGCTTCAGCCCGCCCGCGTCACGCGCCCGCCATTGCATCAGCCGGGGGCGGGGCGCCGCGCGCACGGGTGGGGCTGGCAGGAGAGTGACAGCCCCAGCGACCAATGGGAGGCGGTGTGCGGCAGAGGGGCGGGGCGGAGCGGCGCTGCGGCGCGGCCGGAGGAGCGCGGCGAGGGGCGGCGGTGGGCGCGCAGGTACGGCCCGAGCGGCCCGGGGAGCTCCCGCTGCTGGGCTCGGCTCGGCTTGGCTTCCGTGGCCCGCGGGCACGGCGGAGAGGGGCACGGAGAGGGCAGGTTGGGAGGGAGGCGGTGCGCTGGTCGCCATGCGGTCGGCTCGGCTTGGCTTGGCTTGGCTTGGCTTCCGTTGCACGCGGGCACAGCGGAGAGGGGCATGGAGAGGGCAGGTTGGGAGGGAGGCGGCGCGCTGGTCGCGCCCCATGCGGCCCGCGGGGGGATGCCGGGCGGCGCTGCCGGACAGCGCTGTGCCCTCAGCCCTCCTCGGGCGCTGGAGAGCGGGTGTGTCTGGGCAGGGGCTCTCATAGGTGCCGGGGCCGCTGCCGTGCTTGGTTCTCCCACCTCGCGTCCTTCCCTCCTGCAGCATCGAGGTTGGACTCGATGATCTCAGAGGGCTTTTCCAGCCTAGTTGGTTCTGTGCTGGGAATCGCAGGCCTTGCTCCTGTGGGGAGTTCCCGTCTCCTCGCCGCAGCAGCAGCAGGCCGCGGGGATCTCGCCTGCCTCCCTGGATCCGCATTGCGCTGAGCTGTCAGGGACGGCCCTGTGCGCCCGTAGGGCACGGGCGGTGCTGCCCTCCAGGCTGTCACTTGCCTCTGGTGTGCTTTGGGGGTGTGGGTCCCCTCAAGGAAGGCTTCCGGGCATCCCTGCAGCTGCTCTGGTTTGAGCAGGGAGGGTGGACAGGGTTATTATATTGAGGGTCATTTTCAAACTTGGCTGTTCTGTGATTTAGTCATTGAAACACAGAAGGGTTTGGATTGGAAGGTACTTTAAAGCCCACCTGATTCTAACATCCCTGCCATAGGCAGAGACATTTCCCTCTGTACAATGCTGCTCCAAGCCCCATCCAACCTTGCCTTGGACACTTCCAAGGATGGGGAAGCCACATCTTCTCTTGGCAACCTGTACCAGGTCTTCACCACCCACGCAGGGAATAATTTCTTCCTAATTCCTAACCTAAATCTCTTTTCCTGGTTTAAAACTGTTCCCACTTGAAACTGTCATATCATTATCTGCCCATGTAAAAAGTTGCTGTCCATCATTTTATATAAGCCCCTTTAAATAGTGGAAGGCCATAATGAT